GATTCTACTTTAAAATTTTGTTGAAAACTTATGATTTTTTCGATAAGCGTTTTGACACTTAAACTTTGTCGCTGATATATTGAGTTCTTTTTTAATAAGCAGAAAGAATTAAGGAAAAAGAGAAAAATAATTCTTAAAATTGAAGAATTGAAAAATTAAAATGTGAACGTTTGTGAATGAAATAGAATGTAATAGTTGATTTTAAAAGAAAATTTTTGGTGTTGTAGTAAAATTTTGCACAAAATGTTACATAAATTAACAGAGTCGTTAAAAAGTTAGACAATATTACTTAAACTATATTAGCTACAACAAGTAACAGCTGCAAACCTGCAAGTCAAAAGTTATCGATTTTGCAAGATTTATTTTTACGGGTTTGTTATTCGCAAGTGTTCTCAAGTTGTAGATTAAATTATGATTGAATGAACTGTGAATAGGGTTTGATCAATTATTGAAAAAGAGTCAGCTTTTTCTATTATGAATGTCTACTAAAGAGAAATTTATCAGCTATATGTATGTGTAAAAGGTTTATAAGTTTATTTACCTGCCGAAGCTCTGTTGGTAATAGATTGATTTTTCGTGTTGATCTTTCTGACATTTAGTGTGTAATTTGTTATAGTTAATGTTAATGTCAAAACAGCTCAAATTCGTTCCTAATTTTACTATGGAGAAACTGACATTCGAACAAATTTTTCTAATTATTGAATTATTTAAATAATTTTATTGTTAAAAGTTGGAAGACCAATTAATTTGCTTAGTTTACATTAATTACAACACATACTATGCTTTAATTTGAGTAAATTATTTTATTGAATTTTACAGACACCATGTATGTATATTTGTAAACTATAGAGTATAAAAGGAACAAAAAATTTGCCTTTTCATCTCATTCGTTTTCCAGACATAAAAACTCCCATACGTGTATGTTTTTCTACGTTTCTACAAACATAAATGTTATATACAATATTTTTAATATCATGCGTTCGTAATAATGAAAAATAAGAGCTTATTTTCGAAAAATAAGAGCGTTCGTTTATTTTATATATGTGAACTTTTTTTAAATACCATGAGGGAAAAGAAATTAAGGAGAATTATATGAGACAGTCAACAGAATGAAATTGAATCTTATTAACCTTTTGACCCAGAACTAGTTACTTCATACCATTTATCATTTTATAAGTCCTATTAAAAGAAAATTATAAAAAATATCTCTCTATCTTAATATTTTAAATTTTACAGACTTATTGGCTTTGATCAAATATTCAAAAAAGAATTTATTGTTGTAAGAATTTTTTAAAGAAAAAGAATTGTCAATAAGTTTGACTGTATATAAAATGGGCATTACATAATTAAGACATCCCAACAAAAGAAATATTTTTTTTCAAAATTATTCAGGTGAACCAAGTATTCAATTCCACAAACATATGTACGATTTAAGCAGTGATTCACTTAAAAACTTCAAAATTGTAACTGATTATTATGTTAGCATGTTATTCACCTGTCAATTTTGTTATCAATGTCAAAATAAATAAAAAAAAACATAAATTAGGACGTGACAATTGACGTCTTCCTTGATTTAATCTATTAAGCACGTAATTTTGCAAAACAGTATAAAAATAAAAAATAAAAAATTGAATTAAGGTGAAAACACTTTTTTTTTTTTTAAAAAATTCATTTTCGTGACATTTTTAATTTTATGACATTAGGTATATAGATTAGCCGCTAGAATTTTTATTATTTTCTGTCTTTTTCCGTAAAAATTTTTAAATTGTTACAAAATATTATATTATAAAAATTTCAAGAATTAAATACGTCAAATATGAGAAATTTTTAAAAATTCATTGAATACATTCTTACACACCATAAAATACAATTATTTTACATAATTTTTTATCATTTGGTTAAGAAATTAGGACAGGGTCGCACTTGTATGACGAAAAATTAACTTTGAGGAAATTGTTAAGTGTTAATTGCGGCTGGTTTTATAATGCATTTTGACCATGAAATAGAGGCTATTAGTGTGTTAGAGAAGTATTAGTGTGTTAACCGAAATCGCAGACATGCTTATTTCTTTAAAGTAGAATTTATTCCGTAACTCATAATTCGTTTAAATAATATAGTAATAAGAGATATAAAATATTCCTATTGATTATCTTGTACAAAATTAGCAGTTACAGTATTACTTTCTAGAATTATGCAAATTGATGTACGAGAGAGAACAATGGAAATCATTATTTAACGTAAGTTAATTTAAATTGTAGGAAAATTTTCAAATAACTATTCTATCAACATTTTAATTAAATGAAAATATGTTGTTATTTTCGTAATTAGCAGATTCATTTACATTTTGTGAGATTTTCAAATTTTAATTAATAATTATTACAATATTCAATACTTTTATTTTACAGTATACCCGATATGAATATAAGCAAGATCAAGTGAAAATGAGAATAAATACACGGATTTCTTCGCGTTCTACTACTTTCTTCGTAATATAGTTTGGACAAGCAGATATACTGAAAGGTATACAAAAAACACTAGCAAGACAGTAGTCAGATTAAGATACTCAAGAGAAAATCGCGCGGGAAGACTAGGTCAAATAAGCGCTGCTTCATAAATATGAGTACTGATATAGGTATATTTCGTAAGTATAGATAAATTTTTTGGCCTAGGTGAATTAAAAATTTACAATCAACGTACGCTAACACTATACCGCTTTTGTTATTATTGACGGTAGACACTATTGTGTGGTTTGCCCAACAAAATATTAAAATTACTAGTTGTACATAAAAAATCTATAAATATATACAAAGTAAATGGGATTTACAATTTCTTAGGACCTGATAATTTAAAATGATGCTACAAATTTTGAGGGGGCGAAAATTTTGTAATGTTTCTTTTTTCTCTTCATTTTTTGTACTTGTAATTCTTCTACATTTACCATCATCCATTGTAATCTATACACAAAAAAAAGTAATTACATGTTATATGAGATTAAATGGATCGTTTATTTTTAACATGCATGCTTGTTGTTGTTAAGTTTAGAGAATTTTTTCTTAAAGGATGCAATTTAATATTTAAGTGAACAACAATATACACAACAGAGAAAACCGAAAATGTTAAATCTATTATTTTTATTTTTGTTGCGCCTTCCTTAACAAAACAAATGAAAAACAAAAAAAAAACAACAGAAACTAAAATGGCAAATTTACTAATGCCTTAAGGAAGAATAATTGCAACATGAAGTGAAAATATTGTTTTGAACATTTTCGCGAAATTTTGCTCTTTTTTTTACTATTTATCTTCTCTATATAGTTGAATGTTACTGCAAAAGAAAACTATCTTATAATCCAATGAAACAAAATAAAAATTAAAAGAAAAAGGAAGATTTCGTCATTTTTATTGCATGATGCTCTCCCGTAAGAAAATGTTAAGAAAAATAATGCAAGATATGCACACATGTGTGAATATCCAACATCCTTACATCCATGTACAAAACGTGTATCCCATATATAACAAATGTGTGTCGTATAAAAATAAATACATAAAGCATGTACTATGGCACGTCTATATGCAGATGTTTGCACTTATTATAAATTTTTTAAAGGAAATTGTCATGTAATTTTTAATGAATTTTTTTATTACTTTGTTGTAATAAACACAATGTAAGGCAAAAAAATACAGAAAAAAAAAGGTTGTAAATCTTGTTGCGCTATCAACAGCAAGCAACATCATAAGTAACATTGTTTTTTTTTCTTTTCTACTATTTAAAACAGTTATAAATATGTTATGTAAGAAAAGAAATAAATTTATATAACTAGATTAAATAGTAATAATAATAATAATTATTAAATAGATTACAAAATGTGGAAACAAGGAGGAGGAGAACATTTCTAACAAACAAACAGTAGAGTAATAAAGATAAAATTTTTCACAGTGCACGCACGAATACCGAGACACCTGGGTGTAAAATTGCAAGTTTCCTTGTGTATGTATGTATATAAATATGATAGGATTTAATAATAAATTGGTTTTAAAACATGACTTATGACAAAATTTTAATTACAATATTAAAATACGTAATTTATGATATTTATTTTTTTAAAAGTTCGTGATTTATAACAATCACGTTCAATTAATTTTCGAAAAATTCTGATTGAATGTGGTTGAAGTGTGCGAATAAAATGTAACATGTAATTTTTGTGTTACTTAATTCCAATAATTGCAATTAACTTTTTAATTTTAAACTAAGTTAACTCAAAGTTATGAAATTTGCTAAATTTGGGTACTGAAGTTGAGTTAAACCCTTTTTTAAAATATCTAAGAGATTGCTAAATATTACCACATTATCCTAAACTAGATGAAATTTTTGAATTTTCATGATTTTTAAGAAACTGTTAATGTTTATCATACAAAAATATTTTTATAATTGATTACATTGTTTTATTAGTACATACTGATTTAATTAATTAATAAATAAGTACTTAGGAAATTGAATTTAATTTTACAGTCAGCAATAAAAGTATGTAATTTAAAGTTTTTTAAATTATAAAGTTAATGGTATTCCCATGACTCATGGAACACCTATTGGTAGTCTTTAAAACAAGTTAATAAAATTCTGTATAATAAATAAATTATTGTCTCTTTGTATATTTTTGAAAAAAAAAAACTTTTGATCGTGATTTGATGCATTCATTTGACTAACACTATAGGAATAAATTAATTAGTCATAAACTCATAAATGAATCACTGACCAATATCGGGATATAGATAAAGAGAATATTAATTTTGCATATTTACATTCAGATCTCATCAGTAGGTATTTTAATAATAAGTCGTTGCTAAATCACAAAGAATACTTAATTTTGAGTTTTACCTATGTTCATATCTAGCATTATATGAGAATAAAAGTTTGAAGTATTTAACAGATACAATGTTTTCCTAATTCATAATTAATAAACTCGATATTATAGGTTTAGTGCTACATGGCATATAGTACTTACCATACATTTTTCCTTCATCTGATAAAATAATTTTTCTTCGTCCACATGGCGGGTATATGGCCAAAGCTTCTTGAAAACTTTGTTCAATATCTGGACTCCAAACACCTTCGGCATCAGCTGATGATAAATCTTTTTCATCCTGTAAATAGAAAAATAAAAAAAAGGCAGGAGAAAAACGGTTTGAACAATTACATTGTAAAAAAATTTTTTGCGACAAATTTTAGCGGAAATTAAAGTCAGTCAGTAGCGTTCTTCAATTCAATTCTCTTAATTCGTTTAAATAATTTCAAATCGTTTTAATAATTTATAAGATTACATCAAGTTTTAAAAAAAATTCACTGCAATGTAGAATGAAGCCTTTAATTATACTTTGCTTTTATAACATGGAATAGTAAAAGAGATAGGGTTAATTAACGTACATGCACGCTACTGACAATTACTAGCAATTTGACAATTCTCTTAGTTAATTCAAAGCTATAACAACCACTTTCTTCCTCAATCTAAAATTTTAATGCTATATTTCCAAATTCAGCACTATTAAACAAAATTGTCAAATTGCTTTTTATTTCGAGATAAATAATGCCTTGAACAAAACTAGCTTAGAATCAAGAAATTACACAATTTAATTTTCTATTTAATAAAAATTGACTAATCTTAAAACAAATTATGGAACTACAGTAATTTTCGAGTCTACTTTTAGTTCCATTTTCCAATGAAATTGTCTTTGATTCGTGATTCTAAGCGACTCATGTAAATTAGTTATTTGAGTAATGTTGAGAATAATATTCTTTTTTTAGTGTTTAAATTAAGTGTAAATTTCAATATAATAAAGTAGTTTCTGGTCCGTAAATTCAGACAGTTTCCATATCTTGGCTAAATTGAATATTAACCTCCACATTCAAATTTATCTTAGGTTCATTTTCAATTTTAATTCATAATTAATTTTCTTAATTTTCAATTTACACAGTTACTTCAGTGATTTTTTAAAAGAATCTCAATTTCGCACTTTAAATTTTCACTAATAATTTAATAAACGCCTTATTTCCATATTGATAGTCTAAAAATACACAAATTTTAAAGTATCAAGTCTTAAGGCAAGTAAATGTATACTTGACGATTCGTCTAATCTAAAATAAAATTTCATTAGGTACTGAACAAAAATTGCCTCTAATTTGGCTTTTACTCAAAATTACTCAAATTAAATAGAAAATTGCTTTTGTTTATTCTTATAAAATCATCAATTTATCAACTTTAGATTAATATCCAAGTAAATTTTTAATAAAACAAAAACAATTTTCGAAAACAGAAAATCATTAAATACTAAAATAAAAATAAAAATAATAAAAAAATTTTCTTACATCACTTACATCACTCATATCGCCGACATCTAAATTTTTACTATCTGCCATTGTGCCGTTTGTGTCTGCCGACCCTAATGGGCCTGGTGGACCGGCACTTACAGGTGTCCACGGTGAGGCTATTGTGCCAGTTACACCAACACCAGCGTCTTTAAAAAAATAGAATAAAATTTTTTTTTTATAATTAATTCTAATTTCAAGTTTAAATTAAATTTTTACGAAAATTAAAAAAATATAAAACGTAAATTTATATTGCATTGCACAGGTAATATACCTAATGTACTTCTATATATACATATGTACTTCTATGCATATACTATCATTGTATATGTGTGTATAATAAAAATAATTAAAAAAGCAAGCGAACAATTTTCATTTATTTTTTAACATAAAAATAAATTAAAACAAATTTATTTACCCAAAATTTCATTAAAAGATTACCATAGGAGAAAAGGAACGGAGAAATTATATAGAATGTGAAAGAGAAAGAGAGAGAAAGGGAGAGAGAGAGAAAGAAAATTTTCATTTTAATAAAAAAAGAGAAAATTCCCTCACTCTTCTTCTTTGGCTGGCATGGCATCCTTTCCTTCAATTTTCATTCATTTCGTAATTTTTGAATTCATTTTTCCTTCTCCTGACTTGACTTGAGTTATTGTTGAAGCAGAGATCGCTTTCGTTTCGCGAAGCATAAACGTCACTGTAGTGTTTGTTTGTCTTATTTTTTTTGTTTTTTTTTGCGTTTTTTACCTGTCTTTCGTAAATTTTTATTTGAGATTTTTGTTTTTTATTGCAATTTTTTATCTTAAATGTTTTTTTTAAGATTACAGTTACATTATTTGAAAATATGAAATGTTGGAGTTTGTTTTTTTTTTTTTGGTTTACACAATTTTAAAATGTGTACTGTTATGCTGAGTGGAACGAAATTCTTAAAAATTTTAAGTATAATTTATATTTGTAGAAATGCAATAATGATCTAAGTTATTCACAAAATATTCTCGAATTGAATAGTTTTCAAATCTTCGTTCAAGTATTTTGATTTTATATGTTATATTTTATGAAAAAGTTGGAGAATTATTGTTATTACTTAAAATTACTAACAACAATGCGAAAAGTAAGAAAAATAAGATGTCGAAATGTGAAAGGAAGAAACAACGAAATGATTTAAGGAGTTTACCAACATTCTTTCCAAGATTTATAGCAATAAATAAAGTATACACTTGAGAAAATTAATTACGGATTAGAAGTAAACTTGACTATTAAACTGAAATTACACTTGGCACAACAAGAATGAATTTCTTCGAGAATAACTTTTCGCTTCATACTGCCTTACCAAGTATGTTTGTTTAAAAAGTTCGAATCGAGACATTCACGGGTACAAACTTCATCATTGCAATAATCACAATCGAAACTGATTTCAAACACCTAAGTATATTGCTTTGCATTTTAAAATTCTTCACATTTCAAACTTCTTGGTTTCAATAAAATTTTACTTAAATTAAAAATCAACCTGTATAACATTCGTAGTTTTAAAGCAGAAAAAGGAAACAAGAAGCGAAAGATCGTTTTAAATACATACAATTCGGTTTTTTTTTTGGGTGCCACTGACGCGCTGTTAAGCCTTATTGCCAACATCCATTCATATAATTAAATTGAATGACAGCAATGTAAAATGTAAATAGTGATGATAGCGCGCGGTACGGTTATGTGAAATGTAAAAAAGCAATAAGATAATCCTTTTTTTCTCTTTCAACTGTTCTTCTTCTTTTTCCAGAGTAGTATATTTTATAATCGTATGCTTACCTCCTCAATACAATATGCAAAACAAATATTCGCAGTAATAAAAAATTCCAAAATAATATGAGGAAAATAAGAAAAAAAGCAAAATAAAAGTTGAACAACAATAAAAACTGGAAAAAAAGAAACGATAAGTTTTGTTTTTCTTTTTTTCTTCTTATACGTGAAAAACCCCCTCAAGAGGAAAAACTCTTTAAAAAATACACCAACTTTTCGAATGTTTTTCTTCATGACAGACATTCAGCAGACAGTTTTCATAATTTATTTTCCACTTTTCTTTTCACGTTCTCTGTCTCTTATTTTCCGTTTTTGTGTTTTTGTTCTTCATGTTGGTTCAGCGTTTTTTTGGCAAGTTTTTTTTATATTTTTCTTTTTGTATTTTTGAAGGCAACGTAAGGTATAAAGATTTGTTTTGTATTCGCATAAACGTACCGAGAAATGTTCGAGAGTTGTGTTTGTAAAATTAGTTACTGTGTTTCTTTTTGCTTAAATTCGGGGTAGGGAAATGAGAAAATGATCCCAAGAAGTTGTAGTAATTGTTATAGTTTGTGATAATGTGACATTCTTTTTTGTACATGAAAAAATATTTACAGGAGAGACAAGGCATTCTTCGTTTTCTTTTGAATTTTAAGCATTTTGAATTTCGAATAAATCCTAATTCGTTAATTTGCATGTTTTATACTCAAAACTGAAGGTGAAATTTAAAAAGTGGATTGTGTCCTTATTGTGAGTACACATCTATGGCAGTTATAACAAAACTGCCTTAATTAGTATAGGTAGTTTTGAGTAAGCAAGTCATGTAAATCTTTCCAAACTAAACTAGATTTTCAAAATCATAGAATGTTTCTCTACAAAAATGAATTTGGACAAGTTTTCTGAGTATCATTTTACACACAATTATTTGACCGCCTCAAGATTGTTTGACTTGATTGAAATTTTACTGAATTATAAATTCGAATTCGACGCAATCAAATAAGTATACTAAAAACTTGATTTTGTAAACAAGTTGACTTAAGGAATTTTTTTGTATTCGTATATGTACTTAGTCCATTAAGATTTTTTCTTAATTCCGCTATAGTTTCCCGCAACTGCATTTTATTTTTAATTTTTTTTTACATTTTAAAGTTCTTAAATGTTGTAAACGTTACATATGTACGTACATACATGCATACAGATAAAATTAATAAATTTTGTAACGAAAAAAAGGAAAAATAAAGGAAAACACAAACAAAATTTTTTTTAGCATGTTACTTGAAATCAAAAGGTGGAAAACTTGTCTGCGTTATTTTACAATGTTTTGTTCTTGTCATTTCTTTCAAGTTGCCAATGTAAAAAACCAAAAAATTTTAGTTTGCTTTCAGTTCGCGGAAGATTGCCTTTTATTTCTGTACATGATGACGAAATAATTCTGAACAATAACTATAAACTAGAAACCTTTAAGTTCAAGTAACGTTCAATAAGAAATAAGCAAAACACGAAAATTGCTCTTAATAAAGATTAAATTAACTCGCTAAATGTGTGTGGAATTTTATTATTTCAGCAACCATAAATAACTGATTGGAAATTTTAACAGAAACTGTGATTTATTATTTGAAAAATATTTAAATCAGGAAGTCCTGCCAAGATACTATTCCGAAAATAATAATCCGAAGTTTTAATTACAAATTTTAATAGTGTTAATAAATTATTGATAGAAACCTTTTACTTATTGTAGGACCTATTGCATGTACATATACATATGTATATGTAACTTTAAATTTAAAATTTGAGGATTTTTTCAGCATGAAATTTTCAATCTAAAATTATGAATTTGCCAATGTATTTATTTTCAAATCTATTCAAATGCAAAGATGCATATAAGTAAAATGAAATTTTATATGAAAATAAATTTTATTTAGCTTTAGCGTTGTCCAAATGAAAATTATATTTGTTCACGCTTCCAGAAATCTATTCAAAAAAGGTGAAATGTAGAAAAAGAACAAGAACAGAAAAAAATACTGCATTTGCGTTTAACTGCTTTATCAAGAATCTTTTATTTACCATCTTTGATCTTGATTACTTTGCCTTCATCTTTCCTAATCTAAATTTTATTTCTAAGAATTTGTTCTTAAGTATATTATGTTGTTTGTTTTTTCTTATAAACAAAAATATTGTGATGCTTCAGAGAAATGAAAATAAAAAAAATTGTTTTTTTTCACACGAAAAGTAAAAATAAGAAAAAATTAAATGGGGAAAAATAGAATAAGTTTTATCTATTAGGTCCATGTATTCCGGGATAGGAACTAAAGTAAAGAGTTGATTTTGTAAATGTTTTTAAATAGCATATAAAATTACATTTTAAAGAACCGAAATTAACTGATTCCCAATTCATTTTAGATTGTGACATCTCGTGGGCGTTTTATGAAGCATGAAACCCTTTTCCTTATATCTAAAACAAATCAAATATTGTGAAAGTGCCGTTGACGCCGGAAACTGCTGGGAGCATCTGAAATTCAAAAATGGGGTAGTATACTTAAAGTTTTTTATTAACCATCGTCTCTGGAATTCCAGAGGCACTCAGATTTAATAACGCACTTAAACTTACAAAATTTCTTTAGCATCTTTATAATTGACTATATCCATTTTAAAAAAGAGGAAAATGAATAAATTTTATGAGGATCACTTTTAGAACTCAATTTTATAATGCCAAATCATGTAATTTTGGACTTGCTAAAATATTCACCAAAAATAACCGACAAAAAAAAAAACATAATTGATTCACAAATTTATGGTGTTAGCGATAAAATGTATAAATGTCTTTTTAACATGAACATTGTCCGTCTTTCACAAAAATTTTTTGTATAGAAGCGAAGTGATAAATTTATTGTTGTATCCTTCTTTTGCATTAGTTCTGGTTTGATGAGCACAAAATGATAAACAGACGTACATATACCACTAACCACTCTTATGTTTTCATCTTTAAGTAGAAGAGATTCACATTGAAAAGGAAATATTCTGCACAGATGATAAATTTCATTTTATTCGCGCTTTATTCGGAAGAATAAACCAAAGTTATAAAAAAAAGAAGGTAAGAAAATTTTGATGTGAATAATCGTAATTTATTTAAGTGCTTTCTTTTCTTCTCTTTTCATACTTTTATTAAATTTCATTATCGTGAGATTGCTATAACATTTTAAAAGTGGCGTTTTAATAATATTTATTTGCATCCATAAGGAGAGAAACAAAAAATTATTATGGTTTGAAGGAATAAAACGCGGTTGACTTTGAAAATCATTTCTGTACTAACTTTTATTTTATATTTTCGGAGAATTTTCTTGTTTTTCTCTTTTTTTTATAATTTTAAAATTTCTTTTGA